AAAAACGAAAGAATATTAATCTACAACCCAGTGTGTCTGAGATTTTAATTTTTAATATTTTTTATTGTTCAATATATATATATATATATATATATATATATAAAAAGAAATATGTTGTAGTGGTTCCAACGAGAGAAAAGTATGTATATTAAAAAGAAGAGGGGTGCCGCAAACGTTTTTGGTTGTAATGTGGATTTATTGAAAAAAATATTATACTTTGTTTTACATAATATTTTTTTCAATAAATCCACATTACAAACCAAAAAAACGTTTATGGCACCTTACTTTTTTTATATATATATATATATATATATATATATATATATATATATATATATATATATATATATATATATGTGTGTGTGTGTGTGTATTAGAGGTGTTTTACGCCTGTTGGATTATAAATCAGCCAACTCTGAGTAGATCCCTGCTTTTCTTTTTCACTACTAGCTCGTATATCGCATCGTGGTATTATTATTTTTTTGATGTTAAGTGTCATTAGGCATAGTCATGACCTTAGGTTTAGACTAAGGTATTTTAGCAGACATTATTCTCTCTACAACACCAAACGTTTATTTTGGCACGTTTTTCATATATATATATATATATATATATATGAAGAAATATAGTCTTAAAAATGCTATATTTATGGGATAAAGTGCTCACTATCAGGGATAGAGCGTGTGTAAATATAAAAGGGAACATAGAAGTGTTGACTTCTATGTTCATTTATATATATATATATATATATATATATATATATATATATATATAATTATTTATTTAAAAATATGATTCCAACGCTACATAAGAGTCTCATGTTTCAAAACAAGAGCCGAAAACTTCAATATAGTTATTTGAATTAAAGTACTAAGCTCTGTTCCATCTTCAAGCGAAATTTTTTTTGGGAAATTATATTGAAGTTTTCGGCTCTTGTTTTGAAACATGAGACTTTTTATGTAGCGTGTTGGAATCATATTTTTAAATAAATAATTATATTTATGCTCTACTTTTGTATCGAGCACTATTTTTTAAAAATAATAACAAAAATACTAAAGAACTTTGGGTTTTTTTTCCTAAATACTTCTTTCCTATTTTCTATATATTTTTACACACACACACACACACACACACACACACACCACACACACACACACACACACACACACATATATATATATATATATATATATATATATATATATATATATGTTCCATTACAGACAACGTACCGCAATTAAGCATTTTATTCTATTTTTCTATCATTCGTACAATTAATTTCTTTTCTGGACATAAAGTGTGTAAAAAACTTTTCGAATTCTCTACATATCCGGGGACTTTCGGCTATATTATTAGTAATTATCAAGATATATATATATATATATATATATATATATATATATATATATATATATATATATATATATATATGAAGAAACATTGTTTTGAGGTGTGGTATACATATGGAATAAAATTGCTTAATACCAATGATTGAGAGTATGTAACATATATATATATATATATATATATATATATATATATATATATACCATTTATTTTAAATGTAAAAAAACTGCAGTCGAAGTATAATATAGAACTGTGCCACTCTCTCACTCTCTTCACACACACACACACACACACACACACACACACACACATATATATATATATATATATATAAATATATATATATATATATATATATATATATATATATATATATATATATATATATATATACAAATTGTTCATAAAATCGTCAGTTCGATTCCCAGTGACAGTCTTCATATTTTGTCTTGTGCCAAATTAAATTAAAGTTAACAAATAGTGAAATATTTTATCCGTGTATGTGCGTGTGTGTATGTCAATAGCAAGTGTACTAGTAAAACATGTTTCAAGAAAAAAAATCATCGAACACTAAAACACGTAACTGCAGCTCGTATCTTGTCGACTTTAAGTGGCATGCTCTATTTTTTTTTAAATTTCGGAACAATCAAGTCATTTGGAATATCGCGAAATTCGGTGCTTTGATATAACTGGCACCCAATAGTAGGAGGTATTTTAACAGATGATGGGGAACCAACACAGAAATCAGAACATCAAAAGATGACAAAAGTTAATACCTCCTTTTGCCATAAGAAAGAGAAAGACATTTGTTAGAAAAAAAAAAGAATAGTATTCAACTGCTATGTAATATGGCGTTTTCCTAAGCGTAGCTTAGATGTGATACAAGGTCGAAAATATGGGGTACCCAGTGAGGATCGAACTCACTATTCAGTCGTAACTGTTTTAGCGAGACAAGCTTTCTAACTATTACACCAGGCCGAGGTGCCGAAAACGCTATGTAATATGGATCTTACCATCGAGCACAAAATGCTGGACAATTACTTCACAGATGAAAAAGAAACTTAAGTCAACAAAGACGGAATTTTGCAAAAGAATACTGATGATATTATGAATAAAGAATATGAGCAACGATGGAGTTTTAAGAATAAAACAAACAAAAATGGCGACTAGCAATCAGAAAAAGGCCGTGTACATCATTGAAAAGAAAGACGAATTGGTTAATTTGACATTCACGGAACAAATTGATGGCATAAAAGACAGTGGGAAACAGCGAGTAATCTACCTAAAGGGTTACTGTAAATGAATAGAAGAACAGGGACTGAGGGTGATAGGTTGATAGACAGATTGATGTTTTACGGGTTATCAACACTCTGTGAGTTATTTACAGTTGAATCATATTTTGGATTGCAAGAAAAAAATCCTCTTTGTTTTGTAAGTAAATATTGAATAAAACATTCTTTTGGAGATAATTTTCCCACGTACAAGAACTAATATTTAACCCATAGCCTCGGGCTGATAGATTTATTACTTCACAAAGGTTATTTTCGCCTGAGTGAAAAGTAATGAGCCCGACTAGTATTCGAATTCGTCGATCTGATTTCTCGATCCGTGTCGCTATCCATAGCACTACCGTTGCATCTGGGATAGTAAAGACACAAACATTATTTAGAGATACAAAGGTTAAGAAATTGTAGAGTGCCATGATCTCCCAAATCTATAGGGGGTTACGGAACATCAGAGGAACTTCCCTGAGTTTTACGCAGTTTATAGTGATACATCGTTGAGTGAGATTGTGCACTGTTCGGTTTTTGAATGCTGGAAGAAGTAGAAATTTCACGTCTCGTCCAAGATACTTTGGTAAAGCACCACCAACCTCACGTACTTTTCAACTTATGGCATTTCCCGAAAATTAAAATGAGAGATTAACAATCAAATATATTTTCTATTTTGGATTTTTTATATTGAGCAAATTTTGGGTGTTCATAATCTTTATATATATATATATATATATATATATATATATATATATATATATATATATATAAAAAAAAATATGATTCCTTCGCTACCTAAGAATTTTCATGTTTCAAAAACAAGAGCCAAAAACTTCAATATAATAAAATTAAATTGAATTAAATTATCAAGCTCGGTTTCATCATCAAGCGAAATGTTTGGAATACCTAATCTAGATTAGATTTAATCTAGATGTATAGATGTTTAAGATTTAACATAGACAGCAGTCGAAACATTGATACCGAATCAACTCAAATCGACGCCTCAGCCAGACAAAATGCCCGAGTTGGTCGTAACGGGAGGACGGAAGATATCTGTCTAAAGGGGAAAGAGGCTCAACAGATTCAACCCGGATATTAAACTTATGACCCTAAGTTGGGGTTATATGAATAATGAGGTGTTGAATTGAAATTAAAGGAGGGCCGAAAAGGGAGTTGATATATAAACAAGATTCTTAATTATATATAAGAAAATTTAGGTTCCCAATAAAAATACCAAATTATACTTACAAAAAAAATAGAATAAAAAGTGATCAAATAAAAAAGAGTAGATAAAACAGGCGACAGTTATGTGATTAGATTAATATGGAGAAGAATAGGAAATATAGAAATTAAATATATAATCAAAATTATAGGAGACTGTGAGTTTAAAAGTAATAAAGTAAGAGCTATGTTATTATAGAAGTTTAAATTTACTTCTATGTCTACATTTTAAAACTAATTCATTCTTTTGATTTATGAATTTGCTTTGATTATTGTATTTTATTATCCTAATTTATTTTTCTGAACACAAGTTTCAACTATCTCTAAGACTATTAGGAGTATCAGCCAAACCTGTAATTTTCCAGTCTATGAATATATATATATATATATATATATATATATATATATATATATATATGTAGGTAGCCACATAAATACATTTCAGGAAAGGAAAAAATTGCCTTTTATAGTTTTATGAAATTGCAATAATACTATTTACTCTAATACGACATTTTATCGACATATAACATTAAATCGGCGGCTCTTAGACAAGCAATTGAAAATGCATGCACAGCAAACCCACTGGACACTTTGGCTAAAGTTGCCGAAGCAGCAGTTCGCCGTACTAATAAATGTCAGGAAGCTAAAGGTCACCATTTCGAGCATCGCTTGTGATTGTAGACGGCAAAGGTAACTTGTATTAATCTCGTGATGCCTGAATAAATTTAGTTTAAGAATATCTATACTAGTTTATCCTTTCCTGAAGTGTGTATACATTTTTGGCGAACTCTCTATCTTACTTTCTCTCTCTCTGTATCTATCTACTTATCTCTCTCTCTCTCTCTCTCTCTCTATCTATATATATATATATATATATATATATATATATATTAATAATAATAAAATTATTGGTATCCGTATGGAATTTCCAAGAAAATTTAAATTCGTTGAGAGCTCTATCTCAAAAGACAGAGCAAAAATTATTATATTATGACAAGCAAGCACTTAAAAAAAACCATAGGTGATATTTTTTTCATTAAAGCCGATAAAAAATGGCTTCAAATCCTCAGGCCTATAAACCAAATCTATAGGTCTGAGGATTTGAAATCATGTTTTATCGGCTTCAATGAAATGAAATATCACCTATAGTTTTTTAAAATGTTTGTCATTATCTATCTATCTATCTATCTATCTATCTATCTATCTATATGTGTGTGTGTGTGTGTGTGTGTGTAGGGTGGGTGGAAAGGAACTCTCTATTGAAAAATAATTATAAGTTTTGTTAATCTCATCACATTTGCATGAAACAAAATATATTGTGATCCCGAAAGTGGTAGAATGACATTGCTGTTATTATTTCAGAATGCCAAGTGTAGTCCAGAATGGCACAACGCCTGACAATATATGGGCGTGCTGAGCTAGCTTCCGGTTGCGAAATCTGGCAGTCTGTGGTACAAATGAACGGATGTTGGTGCAGTGTTCATGGACCGCGTGCTTCAGTTGATGTCAAAACCGTCAAAGGTTGTCATTTCAAAATGATGAGTACTGGATCTGTGGCAGATAAACACAGCAGCGGCGACTCTTCAAAATCCAGATTTGAAGAAAATGTACAAAAGCTACAGGAAATGAGAAAGTCAGTTGAGGATAAAACCAGACGATTATAAACACTGGTGAAAACGCTGGTGCCTAGGTAGAATTTTAACACTATACTGTTCTTCTGCAATTATAATGTTCGGAATATGTTATTAACAATTTTAAATAGAGTTTATCTCTACCAACCCTTTATATATATATATATATATATATATATATATATATATATATATATATATATATATATATATAAAAAACAGACAAGTTTAAGGGTTCATGGTGATTATAATTTATTTTTTAGAATCGAATATGGCCAGCATTTCCTATTATTATTTAAAAAAATGCTTTTAAACATAGAATAATATTCTAATTTAGTTTTATGATAATATATACTTTGAGTTAACATTAATAGGAACTGAAAAACATTATTTAGGTAAGAAAATCAGGTACTGAAAATTGTAATTAAAAATAGAGAAATTTGCGCTGGGTACTATATATCCATGTTTGGTGTTCTCGGGTGAAGATCAGTATTGGCTAGGATGAACGGAAATAAAGCAGCATCACAACAAAACGAGATAGTAATAGTAAAATGTTAGGTTTAGCATTTCAAATACAAAACGACCTATAACTATGTTTTATACATAGTTATAGGTCATAGACAGTGGAACGAGTATAGGCTACACAGGAGTAGTTTGTTCTCGCTCCGTTGTCAATGCTGTATAGTTTAGTATTAACCCTAGAACACTAACCATCAATAAAAGTTATACCACTACTAATAAAAAAATAATATGAGTTCATGAACCCTATTTCACACTCCCATCAGCCCCATTCTAAATCAGTGGGACATTTCTTTCATAGAATTTTAGTCTTTTTTCATCCATTAAATGTTACCCTTTAACCCTAGAACATTAACCATCAATTAAAGTTACACCACAACTTACCATGGGTATATCATACCCGATTTTGAAAATATCAAAAAAAAATATTAAATATAAATTTTTATTTGAAATATTTTACATGCAGGCACTTCAAACTTTGTACTTTCAGTTAACATTAATAGGAACTGAAAAACATATTATTTAGGTAAGAAAATCAGGTACTGAAAATTGTATTAAAAATAGGAAGATTTGTGCTGGGTACTATGTACCCATGGTTAGTGTTCTAGGGTGAAAGAAAATTTTTATTAGAGGTTTCCTAATGTATTTTTTAGTATTTATCACACCGTTTTTTGCATCAAGTTCTTCGACTATGACCGTAGACAGTCAGAATTTGAAATAATGTATTCAGTTGGGACAGAGTTTTATTCTACATCACGTTGGAACCATCCGTTTGTAGGGAATTGATGCCCTAATCGTCAAAGTCATCATTCACGTAGAAGAGATCCCATATTACAGGGTGAGAGTTCAAATCATGTCCGATTATCTATCTTTCAACTGAATTTGTGTAGAAACATCCAAGGAAGGAATATAATAAAAATGTGATAAGTGACAGCGAAATAGATGAAGAAAAAATTATACCGTAATTCTCCATGTATAGTACACCTTCATCCATAATACTCACCCCAAAATTATGCTAAAAATGTTGGAAAATGTTTCTACTCACGCATAATACGCATCCCTTTTTTGGTAATCTAACCCTATAAATTGTATCTCCAATTTCATTATGGCCAGCATTTTCTATTATTTAAAAAAATGCTTTTAAACATAGAATAATATTATTCTAATTTAGTTTTATGATAATTCTTATTTTATTTTACATTTGTAAGTATTGTTAGGTATATATAATTGTATTTGACATCCTTATGGGGTCGCAATCGTCGAATGTTAGAGTCAAATTGTTGTACGTTTGGGGTGAGTAGTCATTTCGCAACTGAATTCAACCGTTCAAACGGTAATTTTTTAAAAAATATTTGTAGTAGGGCATAATACGCACCCCTAATTTTGCTTATTATTTCTGTTGAAGAAATGCGTATTTTATATATATATATATATATATATATATATATATATATATATATATATATATAGGTAATTACGGTAATTTTTTCTCGCGGGGAGAAGTTTTTTGTTTTGAAATTTGATCTATATCTGTCTATATTTCTGAGATGAGGCATTATGTACACTATTTACATTATTCAGACTATTGTCATCATCTTTGTCGCCATGTTGTACACTCTGACCATCTTCATCTGGTTGGAATGTCGAACTGAACCTTTATTTTGCTCACTGGGGTGGACTGTTCAAATGGATGTCAGTTATCAGTTATTTCTGGTTAATTCCACTCTCCAATTTATCCACTGCCTTAATCGGGTATTGAACAGACATACTTTAGGTTCTGTCACAGGATATAACTAATGCCTTTATCCACTGTGCCATGTGACCTTGAGGACATCTGTGTATGAATTTCTGGGTATTACCAACCTAATGCTTTCAGCAACCATTTTTTTACTAGTGAGATTGTGAGTTCAATACCTGGTTAAGGCAGTGGAGAACATTCAAAGGGGAATTAACAGTAGATAACTGACATCCATTAGACATGGCACGTGGAACTAGAACAGTCTACCCCAGTGAGCAAAATAAAGGGTTCAGTTCGACATTTCAAACACCTGAAGAAGGCCTAAACGTTGTGATAAACATGGCGACAAAGATGAGGACAATAGTCCGAATAATGTAAATAGTATACATAATACCTCATCTCAGAAATATAGACAGATGTTCAGTTCGACATTTCAACCAACTGAAGAAGCCCGGAGCGTACAATGGCCCGAGTAATGTAAATAATGTAAATTTGATCAATTTAAACTTTTTGTGGTATTTGAACACGGACAATGATTTTACTAGTTTAGCTAATCAGTATTAAGTAAGTCATATTAAAATTCTTGTTTTTTTTTTTTTTTTTATAGTTTGGAAGATGAATCCGCGACTTGAGATACGCATGAGTTTCAGAGGAAAAGGGGATATCTCAATGAGTTTGAGTTATCCGACATAGAAGATATTTCTAAATGAGACACTAAAAGATTAGGATATGAGTTTGACAAAAAACAAAAAAACAACCTCTGATTGTATCGCCCACATTTGGCTGTGATGCATGTGCCTGGTATACCATTACCTGACTGAGTACCGTGATAGGCATATTGGACTTTGTATATTTGTATCCCAGAATCACTTTTCACGTACCGAAGTGAGCACACACACACACACACACACACACATATATATATATATATATATATATATATATATATATACGACAGACAAGGTGCTTTGATTTACATTTTTTATACAATTTTTCATGTGATCTAATAATTTTCTCTTTTTAGATGATATATTATTATAATCATATATATATATAATTTATCATCTGAAAAGAATATATATATATATATATATATATATATATATATATATATATATATATATATATATATATATACAAGTATATGATTGGTGTATACGGAATAAATTCCAATAACCAACAATTACTATTCTTAAAAGAGTGCTCAATACATAGTAGAGCGAATATAATTATTTATTTAAAAATTATAACATAAATATGTTATAAAATCACTACAAAAATAGGCATTTTATTTCAACAAAATTGTTTTGAAACAAAATGGCTATTTTTGTAGTAATTTTATAACTTATTTATGTTATAATTTTTAAATAAATAATTATATATATATATATATATATATATATATATGTGTGTGTGTGTGTGTGTGCGTATCTATAAACACTAAATCAAAACACCTTGTCTGTCGTATTCAATGAAATGTGCATGTAAGAAGGATTGCTGCCTAAATACACACACACAGACACACACAGACATATATATATATATATATATATATATATATATATATAACTGTTTAATACAACAGAATGCGTAGATTGTTATAAAGGAACACTGTTTAGTGTTCATTTTTTTTTTTTTTTTTAAACCAAGGTGCCTTTCGGCCAACCCCTGTTCAGAGCCCAATGTTGGCAAAATTATTGTATCAAAATTGGTATGAATAGTTATACAATATGGTGGAAGATTTTGAGTACGTCTAAAACATGTAAATCAACGATTAAAATATGCGCAGATTGATGCGCAGATTGCAGAACACGAGGGCGATTATGACAATACCATTGGGAGATTGAGCTTTGCTCTTCCAGATTTTCTATCAAATCATTCTCTATTTTGCATAAGGCTCGTTCCAAACACCATCTGCAACCGTTGGAAGCTGTGTGTATTAAATTACAGCAACCTTTTTTTTCATGTAAGCAGAAAGAGAATTTGCATTCATTTGGAGGATCGTGAGGATTAATCTCTTTCATATTTTACATTCACGCTAGAATATTTACAACTTTAGTATTTACGTATATTTTAATCGTTAATTTACATGTTTTAAACGCATTTCAAACCTCCCTTCCTATTATCTATTCATACGAATTTTGATACAATCATTTTGGCAACGGTACTCCCTGAAGAAGTGTTGGGCAAAAGGCGCCTTGATGACAATTAAACAGTATTTGTTTAAAGCAATATGTATATATATATATATATATATATATATATATATATATATATATATATATATATATATATATGACCAAGTGCAAAATATTTTTAATG